TTATACTAAGTAGGTGCGTAACAGGCTTCTGGTGGCGACGCCCTCCAATGAAATGCGAAACGAATGATCTGCTAAGCTCAGCGAATGAGGCAATGGAGGCGGGGGAGAGCTTAGCGAACCACTGTCGGGCCGACCCCTTTAACGTGGTTGGAAATGCCCTGCACATGATTTCGTCTGGTACGTTGTGCAGCTACATAAAAGTCTTGTAAGTGTCAAGGTGGTCTAGTGGATCCTTTGTTCCATCAAAGGTCTCCACAGATGGCATTTTAAACTTTTGAGGGAGGGGGTAGTTTGCTACATCAGGCTTGAAAGGCGTATCCGTGCACCTTACCAGGTGGTCTATAGTTTTGGGTCCTTGTGCCTTTATGGCGTTAAAGACATCACCTAGTTGATTTTGTACTTCCTTGATTTTCTTGTCCCAATGATTGGGGACTCCTCTGGAATGATCATGAAAATGACTTCCATACTCGATGCTTTGGTTTTCGCCCTCATCCTCTTGGAGATAAGGGTCCTCTCCATGGGGAGCAATTGGAAGGGGAGGTGGAACTCCCTCATGTTGGGCTTCCCCAAATGGGGCGCCCAAGGGGGCGCCTAGGCGTGGAGCAGGACGTGGTGTTCCTTGGTGTCCAGGGCGTGAAGCTCCTTGAGGTCCTCCATGTTGTGCACCTTCGAATTGTGCTCCTCCTTGGGGTCCTCCAAGTTGTGCACCTTGGAGTTGTGCTCCTCCATGGGGTCCTCCATGTTGTGCACCTCCGAGTTGTGCTCCTCCTTGGGGTCCTCCATGTTGTGCACCTCCAAGTTATGCTCATTCTTGTCCAGCGAGCATGAGTTGCAATAACTGTTGGTTTTAGGCCACCAGTTGCTGCATGATCTCCAACATTTGCTGGGGATTCGGAGCTGGAGCATTCGGGACAGAATTGGTAGGCGGAGGAGTAACCTCCTCCTCTCGCGGAGGATTGTCTTCAGGTTGGTTCATGGATCGGGTAGTAATCGTCATTGGTTCAGTGGATGTAATGTTTAGGAGTGAGAATTTTGTCTCTTCCCACAGACGGCGCCAAACTGATGATGCACAAAAATGATTTTGCACACCACCTGTCAAGTGTAAGTAATAAATGCAGTGAAAGTAATGAGAAAATTGGAGGAGACAAGATTTATAGTGGTTCGGTCAACTCAACCTACGTCCACTCTTAAATGGCTCTAGTTGCCGGGTATTTTATTAATTTAAGGGTATGGAGAACAGAGAATATGAGCTTTGAGGGAGAATCAAGGAAGATGTGATGTCAGGCAATCAGTCTCCTCTTTCCCAAGTGTTGATGGGGCGTACAATTTATAGTAATCCCTTAACAGATTGGGGCTACTTTACAGCAACTAAAAGATTATTCTGGTGGAGCTCACGATTTCTTCTCAACGGGCGAGGAGCTTGGGGAGCTCTCCATGAGATGCGGTCAAAGATGACGTGAGAGTGGACTGTTTCCTTCAGTGGTGCAGATAGAACTTCTCATGCTCTCCCCTTTGATGACGTGGCTAAACAAAGAGTCTAACTGGTCTTGGACTATATTAGACTTGGTGGATTTTTCATAAGGTTGGGCTCCTCATTTGAGTTTGGACTTCTCACATAAATTGGGCTATTTGGGCTTGACCCATCATTTATCAAACTAGGTAGTCATTACGAAAGGTAAGAAATTAATTAAGTCGAGTTCAAACATGAGTATATTGAGAGTCCCCTCGATTGTTATTGACTGGTGTTAAATTCTTACTCAACTTCGCTCGACAGAAACTTACAGACATTCGAACTAAACTTAAATACCGAGCATAATTTCTTTAAAAATATTTAAAAAAAATTACCATACAATTTAATAATCAATTTTCTACAAAAATATAAAATAAACAAAACTCTCAAAAAATTGGAACAAGCAACCAGAAATTCAAATACTAAAAACTGAACATTTCAAAAAAATAATAATAATAAAAATTAGAAGTGAGTCCCCGTAGATGTAGTTGTTTGAAGATAAGTTCTGCAAGGAAACTGAAAAGGGGCTAAGACTATGTTTAAAATTATATGTAATGACTTAAATTCACTTTTTTTTTTATCTCAAAAATACCCTTTCTTGAAAGGAAGTTAATATTTTTTCTCTCATATCTATATATATCCATATATAAGTTAAAAGTTTGACTAAAATTAAAATTTTTCCTCTCTCTTATCTATATATAAAAATAATAACATTCAAAAAAAAAATTACTATGAATTTGAATAGTAAAATTCAAATTCATGTTACTATTTTTTTTATTATGTTATTGTTCATATTACTGTTTTTGTTGAGTATGTTACTGTTCATGTATTATTATTTTTGATCATGTTACTGTTTTTATTGACTATGTTACTACTATTACTTTCCTAAATATTAATATTCAATGTTACTATTTTTTTTTTTTTGGAGAATATTACTATTTTTTGTATTTGAATGATACTATTTTTTACGTTTGAATTTAAGAGAAATAATTATTGTTAAATATGTTATAGTTTTTGTTAAGCATGTTATTATTTTTGTTGAACATGTTACTGTTGTTTATTTTTTAAAAATATTAATATTGAATGTTTCAATTTTTTTATGTTTAAATGTTACTAATTTTTTGTATTTAAATGTATTATTTTTTGTATTTGAATGTTACTATTTTTTATTTTTAATGTTACTATATATATATATATATATATATATATATATATAAGAGGAAAAATTTTAATGTTAGTCAAACTCTTAACCTATATATAAATATAGATAGATATGAGAGAGAAAAGATTTTAATGTTAGTCAAACTCCTAAGATTTATGAAATTTTAATTTTTAGTTTTATTCTACTTCTAAAGGGAAGGAATAATATGGTAAAATTGACAAAAAACGGACTTTATAACAAATAAATTTTTTTAACTGATTTAAGTCCATATAAGGGGACCGACCTCTAAATTTTCTAAAAAAAAATGGATTAATAGTGATGGGTCAAGCCTAAGGGCCCAACCCACGTTGTGAGCCTAGTTTAAATTAAGAGTCCGACTTAAAGAAATCCAGTAAAGTCTAGTCCAAAGGGATCAACACCCGGTCAAGCTCATTGGGGTTCAAGAAGCTACATCGCCAAGGAAGTAAGCAGGGTCATCCGAGAGCCTCATCTACACCGCCTTGAAAAGAGTCAATCCCCACGTCATTCTTTGACCGAATCCTATGAAAAACACCGTAACTGCCTCATCAGTTGAGAAGAGGGTGTTAGCTCCACCAGATTTGTCACTTAATTACTAATAACTCGCCTAAATCTGTTATGAGACGACTATAAATTGTAAGCTCTGCCAACACTTGGGGGCCTCACACTCAGTCGAGCATATCTCTGTAATTCTCATAACTTGTATCTTCATGCATACCTTAAAGTAATAAAATACCCCCGCAACTTTAGCCATTCAAAGTGGACGTAGGTCACGTTAATCGAATCACTATAAATCCTTATATTGTTTAACTCACTATCTCTTTCTACTTTATTACTGCATTTACCACACTGCTCATCTGATAGGCAGTGTACAAACCCAATTTGTGCATCATCAAATAGTATTTTTAGTCCTTAAGGTATGTATTTTTTGTCAGTTTAATTCTCATTGTATCACTTTTATCAATTTGGTCCATAAAATATTCAATTTGTGTCATTTTGATCTCTACAAAAACAGACCGTCAGTTTGACGAAAATAACCTTGTATCATTTTTTAGATGGTATCACGTGTCGAATGCGTGATCATTCTGTCAAAAACTTAACGGTTTGTTTATGGAGGGATCAAAGTAATAAGAATTAAATATTTTAGGGGTAAAATTGACAAAATTAATATAATAAAGACTAAACTGACAAAAAATGTATAATTTAAAAATCAAAAATATTATTAACCCAAAAAAACTTAGAAGCTGTGGCTAAACTTGTCTCTTTAGTAAAATATTATGTAACGTAACAGACCACTCTAACAACATATCTTAATGAATCAAACAGCTATACAAAAAAAAAATTCATGTTACTAAAAAATGTGTGATTTTTCATGTACGGCACGAATTAACTGCTAGTATAATTGTTAAAACAATAACCCCATAAATCATTTACAATATAAAATATAACATACTTCAATAAATTTATCTGACAGTCTTAAATAGACTCATTCAATGACCACCAACATCTCTCTCAAATTCATTCACATTATGCATTCTTTTTAGGCACAGATTATCCTTAGTTAAATAGACATTTTTAAGCTTTATATTCCCTCCGTTTTTAAATATCTGTCCTTTTGAACAAATTTTTTTGTTCCATAACATCTGTCATTTAATGAAACTAAAACATAATTAATATTTTTTTTCCAAATTTACCCTTATCTCTATTTTCCAATAAGTGTTTAATAGAATAAGTATAGACTAATGCTTTCATATTCCTTTCTTTCCTAATATATATTAAATAAGGATATTTTAGACTTGTGTAATTATTTTTTACTTATATTAGAGCTATTTAATAATTTTCTTAATTCTTGTACAAAAACCTTAAACGACATATATTTAAAAACGGAAGGAGTATGTAACAATGATAAATGGTAATGGTAGTTTGGTCCACCCTTTTTATTTGAGTAGTGGGTAATGTACAAGCCCTGAAATCAAAAAGTTATGATTGCAAACGAGACTCCACAGTAAAAATAGACGTTGAATTAGTCGATATAAATTGACGCACAAGATTAATGGATAGACCAATCTAACTCCCATAATAAACCATTACCCGATTAAAAATTTAATAAATTAATATCACTCCATTATCTCGTTTACCACAATTATCCATTTATTACCCTACTAATCATTTAATAAATGACCCAATTTGTTACAAAATTAAGACTTTTAATTAAGAAATAAGAAATTTTTGTGTTGTAAAATTAACGGATAACACAGGTTGTGCAGTGAACATGTTTAATAAACGTATAGTATACGATTTTATAATTTACACCCGTTTATTAAACAAGTCATATACATATACGAATTAAATAGTTTTTAACATAAGATCCAACACGAATCGATACATTGCCAAAGCTTAGCGTAAAATAAGACGTCAGAACTTTGTAACTGTGCCCAAAAGTGACAGAATCCAAACTAGACTAAACTAAACTTAACATTGCCACCGTGGCCAATAGTCGTGACAGAATATAAACTCAGCTCAGTTCAACTCAACCGTGTTTTGTACCAAAGTAAGTCGTGGTAGAGTATTTCCTAAAAAAATGTGGAAGAAAATTACCCATCGCTTGTCAATATGAAGGCCGAAAGAACAATAGTGAGTGTAAAGAAAATGGTTGCTCCAGCAAATAACCCCATAGCCCTGCTACTCTTGGTGTTCTGATTCACTTCACCGCCCAACTCAACCTGTTTCAGGAGTTCCCTTACATCATCTATGTCGGAGTCTTTTGCAGCTTGCATTAGCCTACCCTGAATTTTCTCAAGCTTACGTAGCCTTCTAGCCTTGGTTGCATCCTTGGTTGGCCAGAAAAAACCGATCATCTTCCACAGGAAAATACCCATGTAGATTGCCACAATACAGTCCACACTGTAATGGTGGCGTTCCCGTATTTCTCTCTGTGAGCTGTGCATTACAAGCATCCAGATAATAGCTGAGCTAAACCCTCCATAAGCTTCCTGAAACATGTACCAACTGTAAGGAGCAAAGACTCGCAGTTCAGAGTTGGAAATTAAGGCCAATTATGACAAATTGCAAAATCATTCTTGTATATACCGTCCATGCCATAGCTGTCAGTACTGCAACAAGCATGTGGCCACTGTAAAGGAGATCGTTGCAGCCACCTCCAGCTTTCTTTAGCAAATGGAACCATGAGGAAGATCCGTCAAGAGGTGTAGGTCGCAAGAAATCAACAAGAAAGTTCATCAAACCCCAATCTGGACGGAAGTCAGCTTTGGATTCCACAGCTTGAGCTGGTAAAGAATAAAGAAAAATGTTACTATCAGCTTCACCTAACATTAATTTAGGACAGATTTAACAATGCAAAACCTTTCAGAACTTGTGCAAGAGATGTATTATCCATATGCCACCAGAAATGAAATCCAAGAACAAAAAAATCCTGCCCTGTGAGTAAACATTTGAATCCAACATTTACTGAAATTTGTGAGACAATTCCATGTTTAAACATTGCATGCTCTGTTATATCACAAGTAACCATATACTTTTTAATAGACTCCGTGTCAATCTTGGTTTGTTTTCTTCCTCTTAACACTCACCCTCCTCTTTTTCTTATCCCTTTCCTTGAGAGAGAGAGAGAGAGGGATGCAGGGAGGAAAGCTATAAACTACTCAGACATGCATGGAACATCGAGGATAACTACAGTAGAGGACATACCATATGCTATATCATACTGAATAAGCTGGCGTATAGCGTAAGAATCTGAAGCATAAGGGACATAATACTTTTGAACCCACCGATGAGGGTGTGTAGGGACATTGAACCGAGCAGATGCACACCAAGGTCGAGGTGATGGCAGAATCGTAGATACAAAAGCTATGGTCCGAAGAAGCCGTCCAATAGCCATTGTGAACATGTACCTTGCAGCCAGCCCAAGACCAGGAGCTTCTATGGAGTCAAACAGAACAGAAAAAGCAAGCATAATAAACAACATCAGGAAATGGTGCAGTCCAATGATCCGAGCTCTTAATATATTGACCATTGTTTGAGGCAATTTCTCATTCAACGCCAGCAGCAACCACTGGCCAGTATCAGGAAGAGGTGGAGTGTTACTGTTAAACATGATCAAGCCAATCAGACTTCCAATTGATAAATAGGCAGTTGGCATACAAGGGATAAGCAGTTCGGAAAGATTATGCTGGCATTGCCTCCGTAAAATATTACCTAGAGACATAAAACTAAATAATAAGCAAAATTTCATGGAACAACAGTTATGGATTTATTTGAGATCCATTAAGAAGAACCCTATCCACCAAAAACAGGTGCAGTGCATAAAGTCCTAGAAAGAAAATATGCCCATCAACTCTCAGGCTCAGTACATCCAATAATGGTCAATCTTCCAATTATGAACAATGATGCTTTAGAGAACAAATTTGCGGACAATATTGTGTATAAAACATTTCTATCACCAAGTCACACTTAAATTTGGTGTCCTTGGTACCAGCTAGAGGTTCTATTTGCAGTAGCTATTAATCTATTCTATGCCACTCATTGGCTTTAAATCTCCATTAACTTGATCACTTTCATCAATTATTTCTTCCTTCATCTCCCACCCTCCTACTCTTAAGTAACCTTTTGCTCAACTAGAGATTTCCTGATCCACAGAGTACAGTCAATTGATTACTTCTGTTTAACATCCAATAGTGTACATAAAAAAAAAACATCTATCCAGTTCCAACATCCTTGTCAGGAATAACTACAGCAAGATGACTAGCATTTTGAAATTGATCTAGGATTGAGGAAATAGAAGGGGCAATGTACCGGAGTGAATCTATATCTTAGTCTTCAACCATTAGATGCAGGCAAATCAGTTTTCTTTCCATAATTAGTCTCAGTTCTTAGCAAAAATCAAGAAAAAAAAACTCATGCTAACAAGTGCCTTTTAAAGTGCAATAAATAACTTGCTAAAGCATTTAATGAGGTATAAAGTTTCTCTAAGTAAACCTCTAAACCCTCATTCCACAAAATATAAATTCAAGGTTATGCATTAATTACAATATTTTCTATTCTTTTACATATGGATGGACATGGCATATATGGCATAATATTCTATTAAGTGTCAGAAACGAGTTAGGATGTTTAATGAGCCTCTAAGAGTTTGAAGTAAAGTTAATTAACGGAAATAAAGGCAAAGTTACTGAGCATTAGTAATGAATTAACGAGGTTGCCCTTAGTTAGGGGTGGCCATAAAAAAAACACTTCCATTACTGGAATTGGACAAGAAGGCAAATCCAATGCATACTAGATTAACTTTCTTACTGAAATTCTAATATCACTTTTCCTACACTCTTATAATTACTTGCACTTGATTGATGAAAATATGATAGTGCTATTTACCTAAAAAGAGATGTTATTTTGCGTAACTATATCAATGAATCAATACATTTTTGACAATTCATCATAATCAATGGCACTAGATTCACGAGGAAAAAAGAAATATTCAGAGTCCACAAACTTCAAAAAATTAGAGTACTCAAATCTCTTGAATCACGAGGTTACCTACTGCCAATAGAAACTAGATCTGACAAAAACTTCAATTCCCCTTTCAGTGAACATTTAACTCAAGCACATCTTCATCAAATTATCAAACCCAAAGATGAAATCCCATTTGACTCCATATCACACCTGAAATGCACATAAGCACTTTCCAAGTTTTAGATTGATATTCACAGATCTTTCTCTCTTACTTTCTTTCTTTTTATGCACCAGATAAAATCCATGTTGGATCACACCCAAATCAACCCATAATCAGAACCTTTTTCAAACTTCACAACTTCTCTATCTCCACTTACCCAACAGAAACCAACCGAAATAGCACAAATAAACAAAACAAAGTGACATAAAAAAGCAGATTCACATTTAATCACATCCAATCAATTCTTAATCTGAACCACCAACCAAATCTGAAACCATTTTCCAAAATTTACAATGTTTCACCACCACCCATCCGCATAATAACCAAGATCGCGCAAGTTAACTAATCATCATGCAAAAATCAAACACCCAGTTACATTTCAGGTTCTGGGTGTTTGATACAAAAACGATATATCAATACCCATCTAGCTAGATCCAATACTGAGCTTCTTAGGATGTCCTCTTAATCAGACAAGCAATATAAACCCACAAGAATATAAGCAATATTGTATCATGTACAACACATTACTTGTGCCAATCGAGGCCGAGGACGGCAGAGACGGAGCGAACAGAGAGAGCTTCCAACAGAAAAGCGGAGAGCAAGAAGAGCATGGAAGCAATAAAGGGTATGGCAGAGCGGAGCTCGGCAGACCAATGCTTGTAGAAGGGGACACGGACGATGATGGCAAGAGCGAGGATGGTCCACAGAACTGGCTGGAGTCGGGCGTGCCACGGCTCTGACAGATGGCGGAGATAGTCCACGCCGACGTAGGCTATGGCGGCCAGCCCCAGGCCCCCGCCTCGGGTTTTCAAGATCGCCACCGGCCACGTCGGCGACCGCCTCATCACTGGTGGCGGCAGGTTTAAAGAGTGGAAGAGTTGTAGTGTAAGGAAAGTGGAAGTTGAAAATGGAGTTGGACTCGGAGGACAGACGTTTATTTAAGGAAATTACTATTTATAAAAAAAATTAGGGTTAATTGCACTAGAGGTCCTTTGTCTCATTTTGATCTCCAATGTTTCAATTGCATGATCTTGGTCCCTGAAATATTGAATATGTTTTTATATGGTTCCTCAAGTAAATAACGTCTAGATTGCTAACAGTTTTTATCATAAACTTGTCACATAATACCTAAATATAGACAAAAAAATAATTTTAATAGCTTTTAAACAAAATTTAAGTAACTCTTGACAAACAAATGTGTAATATGGATAATTTTTGACTAAAATTTGGATAGCTCATAATCAAAATTGTATAATTTAGATAGTTATTTAACAAAATTTGAATAAATATTTGGTCAAGAGTTATTTAAATTATTTTTTTGTCCATATTTGAGTATTATGTGACAAATTTATGATAAAAAATCGTCAATAATCTGGACATTGTCTGCTCAAGGGACCATATAGAAACATATTTAATATTTTAGGAACCAAAATGATGCAATTAAAAAATTAAGAACTAAAATGAGACAAACTATATACTTTAGGACCTCCAATATAATTAAACCAATAGATTAATCACTCATAAATTTAAGAAGTTCATCGAGATATTTATGACTGTAAGGGTTAATTACATACACGTCTCCTTAAATTTGTTAAATAGCCAGATAAACCCCTGTTGTTTGGAGAAAACGCTATTGCCACTTATGGAAAAGGTTTTTGGAACGGGAATGACGGGTGGAAAAAACTAACCTCTTGCATAATATGCGATTTACTAATATAAATGCTATGTCAAGCCCGTTGCCAAACAGACCCCACATGTTAGCAAACAGATCCCATACTCCATTACACATTTTCTCCAGATTTTTTCTTTGTTAAATTACCTAACATGAACTTAAGTGAGATTCATTATAAATAAATAAAAGGAGTAAAGGCACGGTAAAAATTTAAGAAAGTTGTTAGTGGTCATTTGATGAATTTATTTGAAACCGTCGAATTAACTTATTGAAGTCTGTCTTATTTTATAATATAGATGATGGTACTCGAAATCAAATGGACTGGACTGCAGAACAGTCTAGGATGCGGCCCAACAAGTATGTGTATGTGCAGGAGTGTAAGTGTGTATGCTATGTATAGGATGCAAGCTAAAGACAATAATGTGAGTGGTTTACCTTAGTTGAAGGACTAAAATTACGTCCACTATAAGAAAAACTCTTTCTCCTTGAGAATTATATTACTCGAGGAAGAAAATTGTTGTTACAAGGTATTTAGCTTGAAGTCTTTTATAAGATATCGTCTTGGTTACTCTGGATAGTTTCTCTGAATGACCTCTTTTGCACCATAGCATTCTTGTGGATTCTTTTTTGTTGATTCTGTAGTTCTCTCTATGATTGTCTTGTTCCTATAGTTGGGATCCTTGACGCCTTTCTACACTCACTACTCACCGGTTGTAATACGTGATTCATCTCCACTACTAGTGGGCTTTCGTTCATCAAGGTCGTCAGGTAATGTCCCCTGTCCATGTGTCATATTGTAGCCTTTGCAGACTGGCCTAGTGTCGTGCTCTCATTTCCCAAGCTAGTATTTATACCAAGCTCGTTAACATTGAGTTGGTACCTATATTGAGCTCATTAGCGTCGAGCCTCTCCGAAATTGGACCGTGGCCCAGTTCGAGCCTAATGATTATTGTCCGGATGAAAGGCTTGAGCCGCCATCTATGAGCTTAGAGGGTTTGGGGCTCTAGAGAGAGGCCAAACTTAAATCCATCCTTATCAATAGATATTTTTTACTATTACATACTATGTGATTTATTTAAAAAAAATGAAAAAAAATATGTACTATAGGGGATCTTAATCTCTATACAAATACTCTCTTGTACAAAAACTAACCCAATACATTATTTACTTCTTTAAAACTCGATTTTTGTTATTATTTAAATATTAAAAAATTAATTAAACTATTCATTCTTATAAATGATCCAAAAAAAAATTAATTTAATTTCAAAAAAATATTTTAATAAAGTTGTTATCCGTAACAAATATACTATAATAAAAATGTAGGTGAAAGTGATCACCACCGAATGGGGAAAGGAGGGTTTCTTCGTTTTTGATGTATGTGGGTAGTTGGTAAATATGTTGACATAATGGAGGGTAATATTGTCATTTGGTATTTTCATTTGTTTAACTACACGGACATCACTGTTAGTGGTACTCAGTGTTATTTCCCATAGAAAAGGGGTCTAGTTGTTATTTGTCTAAACTTTAGGAAAGGTGGATGTAATTTATCCAAAAAAATGAATTAGAAACTCTATATTCTTGGTCCCACAAAATACTGATCAAAATATTTTTCAATAGTCAACTCATTTGGTAAAAGTACTTTTTGATAAATATTTTTATATGCATAACATTTTTCGGTAAAAGAATTGAAGAAGTCTCCAAAAGAAAAAGAGAAAAAGCTAAATAGATAAAGAGAGAAACATTTACAGTGAAGTTGAATGATCAAAAAGTAATCTATATAATAAAATACAATACAATTCAAATGTCAAAAGATAAATAAAATGATTTTTATTTTTCGCGGTTGAGATCTCTTTAAATTTTGTTTTAAAATTAATTTGACAGTTAATATTAACACCTAAAATTTAAAAGGAAAAATAGGCCCCTAAAGTTTGTTTGGGGTAATTTTTTAAAAGTAATTCAAGAAAATAACTATTTTAAATAAAAAAGTAATGTTTGGAACCGTCCCATTACCCCACCACAGCCCCCACCGCCATCACCATTACCATCACCATCGCCACCCCCACCATAACTACCACTACCACCACCACCTCTTCTTCCATAATAACCACCATCACCACTGTCGACAACACCACCACCACCACACCCACCGCCCCACTACCGCCATCACCACTACCACCACCACCGTTGTCGCTACCCTACTACCACCACCACCACTGCCACCACCTTTGTCACAACAATCACCATCGCCCCATTACCACCACTATCTCCACCCCACCACCACCATCATTGTCACCGTTCCACCACCACCACCACCCCTACTACAGACACCCCACCACCATCCCTATTACCACCACCGTTGTCGTTCCATCATCACCCTTACCACCCCTCACCCCCACAGCCCCACGACCATCAACACTACCACCACCGTTGACTTTACCCACCACCACCCACCATCATCATCATCTCATTCTTATATGTATTACCACTACCACCATCATCTTGTAACTATCGTCACCACCCACCACCACCATATTGTTGCACACTACCACTCGTCATCAACAACCAATATCACCCACCCCTACTACACCTACCACCACCCCTTTCACTACCCACCACTACCGCCACCCCACTGTCACCAATCCCCACCACACTTACCACCACCGTCATTCACCACCACCATTAAACTGTTGTTCAGAAGCATTCGTCATCGTGCACCACTGCCACCACCACCGTCGTCACCCCATCACCACGACTGGCAACAACCATCATCGTCGCCCACCACCACCACTACCGTCACCCATTGCTACCACTACTACCATCATCGTTACCACCCATGGCTACTACCACCACCACTGTCATTGCCACCCATTATAACCATCATCATCTCTTACCACCACCACCACTGCCGCTCACCACCTCTCACCTCTATTACAATCGATGTTTAAATTTTTTTATCTCTCCTCTATGTTTGTAATTTAATTTTTTATATGAATACAAATATATTTATTGTTTACCATTTTTTATTACTCTATGCCTTCAGACACATGTAATAACTAGTATTTTGATAAGTCGGGCCAAATGCAACCATACTAAGTGGAGTTATTGTAAGAAAAGTAGGAAACATCCAACTATGTCGAGCCTGAAGAAAACCCCTCTTCACTAGTCGTTTGATAATCTTCTCATAATTTCATCTGCTAATTATTTTGTGATCCTAGAGATTTTTTCTCTTAATATTGATAAATCTCATTTATTTTATAGTGGAAGTTGAAATCAGACTATGGTCTCGTGGTTTTTCTTTTTATGGGTTTTCACATAAAAATATTTTTTTAAAAAAATTATGGTTTTATTTATTTTATTTGTTTGGAATTGATCAATTTGACCATACCTTAATTTGACCATATGGAATTTATTTGAAAATGAATACTAAAGCTAAATCTATTGGTCGCATTATGTATGTAGAAAAGTGTAGGAATAGAAAAATAGAAGCAGGAAAAGTGGGTTGAAAGAAAAGTTAAGAAATTAGTTTTGCTTCTATTTTATCAAAATCAATCCCAAAAAATTAATTGCAAACGTGAAAGAAAAAATGATAATGTGTATTAAATATAGATTATTTATCTTTATACCCCTTAATATCTATATAATAACATAGCTATATTTCTTTATCTTTAGCTTTTCGTGACTTAGATCGATTTATGATTATTGTTCCGACGGTCCTCATACTAAATTTTTTTAAAACTCCTATCTCTCATCTAACTCTCTTCCTATCTCAAACTAACTGATACAAAGACTCTTATCACTCATCTAACTCTATTTCCATATCCCATACTATAACTTTCTCAATATCTCATACTAACTCTCTCCTACACTCGATACACTATCTCCTTACCTCACCCAGTAACAACACTCTCCCTTTCTCTCTTTCTCAATCACTGTGCAATTTGAGAATTTTTCCCTATGATTTAATGTAACCTAATTAACTGACTTTCCCTATTATTTTTTCCACAGTTTGGGAAACATTTTTATGGACTATTTTTTTTTGTTGATGTCATATTATATCATACCTATATAACATTGAGTTCTATTTTTTTTTTATAGTTGATTTGATATTTTTGAATTTTTTTTTTGTTTTCTTCTCTATTTTGCTGATTCTATTCGTATTATAGCATTGAAGCTCACAGTTGGGAGTATAACTTACATTCAAGTTTTGGTCATTTGGAGTTGGTCATCAGATT